TATAATCCCAATCTACTCAGTCCAATGAATATAATCCCAATCTACTCCCAATCCCAATATCCCTCCAAACATTTCTTATTCATGTACTTATCCAAATGTCTTACAAATGCAGTAACTTCACCCAAGTCCACCACTTCAAAATAAAAATCTTATACTAGTGAAATGTAATAACCATGGGAAATTTCAAAGTAAACCTAGAAATATGCCTGAATCTCAGTAGCAGCTGCAAGATCCACGCTACTCTCAGTCCTCTATTTTAGAAAAAGTAACAAAATAAAGTTGGAGTGCAGTACTGAATTGAAATTGGGAAAAAACAATTTGCAATTGACATAGTTTCAAGTTTGTCCAAACTTGTGACAAAGTGTAATGGTGTGACCTTGTTTCGGCAATATTTTTAAATAGAATGTCAGGTAGGTCAATGCCAATATAGGATCATTGAGGCATATTTTCAAGAACTTAATGCTGGCATTGCCTGGTAATGCTTGCACATCATGGGAAAATTGATTGAGATTCTTACCCTTGCTCGTTCCAAACTCTTCCTTTGTTCATGGAATGCAGCTGGACTCTTCAATGCTGTGAACAGGTGACAAGGAAGAATTTAAATCAACAGGAAATGTCTATCAGAGGAAATGTGGTAATACTTTCACAAGTAAAGGCAGTCAGACTTCTGACAAATGGCTTGCAACAAGATACTAAAAATACACCACTTTGGAACTACTAATCTGACTCATCAAATCTACCAAAACGATGCATGCACCAGCAATACACAGGGCATGTTACTCACTAAAATATTTAACAATATCACGTTCTGCAGCTCAGACATATTTACAGTGTCAATCAAAATGGCAATTTCAATCATGCCATTAAGTATCAGTGGTGCTCAAACTGCTAAGTTAAAAGAATGAAAGCAATTAAATACAGCAGTCAAAATAAACATGCTACTGGTGAAAATCAGCTATAAAGAGGAGTTCAGAGCCCTGGGTAGGTGGAGATGGGAGTCCAGACAGGCTATGGCTGAAGGAGAAGTTGGGTGGAGACAGGCCATGGCCTAGTGGTATTATCGCTGGACTGTTAATCGAGAGACCCAGATAACATTCTGGGGCCCGGGTTCAAATCCTGCCACAGCAGATGGTGGAATATGAATTCAGTAAATATCTGGAATTAAGAATCTAATGGTGACCATGAATCCATTGTCAATTGTCAGAAAAACCCATCTGGTTCACTAGTGTCCTTTGGGGAAGGAAACTGCTATCCTTACTTAGTCTGGCCTACATATGACTCCAGACCCACAGCAATGTGGTTGACTCTCAACTGCCCTCTGGGGCAATAAATGCTGCCTAGCCAGCAATGCCCTCATCCCATAAATGAATAAAGAAACAAAAAGGCCTAGGTTCAGGTATGGGGGAAATCTATTTTGTCCATCGTTTTGTTAGTCCCATCATTTTATAATAAAGTAGAGCTCAGGACCAGCATGTTTCCTGTGAAAATGAAACATAAGAATGGCATGGAAGATAGAGAATAATAGTTGAATGGCGTTTTCCTGACTGGAGATCTATGACCAGTGATGTTCTGCAGTGCTGGGACCCCTGTTGCTGGTTATATGTACATATATATGTGCGTGTGCGTACACATGTAGGAGGCCTGATTAGTTAGCTTGTGGATGACAAAGATTGCTGGGATGGGGGTGTATGGACATTGAGGAGGATTGCCAGAGGATACAGCAGGATAGGTTGGACACTTGGTGAAGAAATGGCAGATGGAGTTTAATCAGAACAAACTCAAAGTGATGCATTTTGGAGGATCTAATGCAGGATGAAAGTATACAATAAATGGCAGAACCCTTAGTAGCATCAACATACACAGAGATATCTAGGCATACAGGTCTGCCGTTCCCTGAACATGGAAATTCAAGTGGATAAGGGTAGACACTTCACTTCAGCTCTGCTGAAGAGTTACCTAGACTCAAAACATTAGCTTGCTCTCTCTCCATGGATGCTGTCTGACCCGCTGTGATCTCCAGCATTTGTTGTTTTCAGGCATATAGTAAGCTTGCCTTCATTGCTCAGGGCATAGAGTATGAAAATTGGCAAGTCATGTCGCAGTTTTTAGAACTTTAGTTAGCCGACATTTGGAATATTGCTTACAATTCTGGTCACCACAATACAAGGAGGATGTGCACGCTTTGGAGAGGGTACAGAATGGTTTACCAGGATGTTGCCTGATTTGGAAGGTATTACTTGTAAGGAGAGATAGGAGAAACTTGATTTGTTTTCATTTGAATGTCAAAGGATGAGTTGCAACATAATAGAAGTTTACAAAATTATGAGAGACACGGATAGAACAGTTAGTCAGAGTCTTTTTCCAGGGTAGGAATGTCAATTACTAGGAAACATAGGTTTAAGGTAAAAGGGGATAAGTTTAAAGGAAATGTCAGAGACAAGCTTTTGGGTGGTAAGTGCCTGAAATGCATTGCCAGAGCAGGTGGTACAATAGTAACGTTTACGAGAGACACAGACCACAGAGGCAAAATGTTTTTAGTTTAGAAAGGAGTCATGTGACAATGCAGTTTTGGTGCGCTTAAAGGCTGTTCCAGTGCTGTACTACATTTTCTTTGTTTTTTGTAAAGCCAAGGCATGCCTTTAGAGTGAGACTTTATTTATAAAGGCTGAGAGGTCTTTTGCTGAAACAGAACATCCAATGCCAACAATTTCTTAATATGAAAAGAAAAGCACAAATACGCTTCAGAGAACGCTTCTGATTCCATTTGGGAGCAATGGGACTCCGAAGCAATAAGTGAATTCATAACATGATTGACCTTATATCACACTTTTCCCTATATTTCCAGTCCACGCCTTTGTTCCCCCAAGGTTAGATTTTTCCAAAACGCTGATGGCTGGCCTTCAACATTCACCCATCTATAAGGCTGAGGTCATGTGAAATTCTGCTGCTCATGTCTTAACTCATTCAAAGTTCCATTCCTCATCTCCCTATGTTCGCTGACCTACATTGGTCTCTAGTCAAACAACAACCTGATTTTAAAATTTTCATTTTTGATTTGAAACCCCTTCGCAGCCTCATCTCTCCGTCTCTGTAGTCTCCTTCAGACTCATGATCCATGACCCAAATAGAAATCAGTGCTCAAGTACTTCCACTAGAGCATGGCTGTGTTTTCACTTACCTTGGTCACAAGCTCTAGAATTCCATACCTAACTAAATCTTTCCAACTCCCTATCTCTATTTCTTCCTTTGACCGAGCTTTTGGTCATCAGCCCTAATATCACCTTGTGCGACACTGTGCCTGATTTTGCTTATTAGTGCTTCCCTAGAATAATGTGGCACATTTTACTTAATGAAAGATGCTACTTGTTATTTTTGTAAAATTGTGTATTCAGAGTTTCAACATTCATCCCTAATTGTCCTAACTGATCTGCTTGCTAGGCAATTTCAGAGTGCAGTTAAGAGTCAACCACATTGCTGTGGGTCTGAAGTTACATGCAGGCCAGACCAGGTGTAGTCTGCAAATTTCCTTCCTTAAAGGACATTAGTGAACTGGATGTGTTTTATGACAGTGCTTACATGGTCACCATTAGGCTAGGTTTTATTGAATTCAAATGTCACCACCTGCCATGATAGGATTCAAACTCATACACACAGATCATTAATCTGTGGTCTGGATTACCAGTCCAACGACATTACCACTACTCCATCACCTCCTACCAAATTAAGCTTGGAAAAGTAGGATAATGCTAATTTTTTTCTCTTTAACGCTATGGTAGATTGCCAAATAATGCAGGTAGTGACTTTTTAGTTTATTCCAACACATTTCAGTAACAAACTGGTTTTGATAGAAATCTTGTTGGTTGAGCAACCGTTTTGTCTCTTCTCCCTTGTTTACCTTCATTGCTTTTTCTTCTATTCTCTCTTTAGAATAATCTTGATAATTAATCCCACTTCTGCCTTCCACCTAAACATAGACCTTCACTTTTATCTTTAATGCAGCTTCCTCCTTTCACTTCCTCAAAGCCAATTACATTTCTAACTTTTTCCAGTTCTGATGACAGGTATCAAGATCTGAAAGAATAATGAATGCAATTTTTCTCTCCACAGTTGCTGCTAAACCATTGAATGCTTCCAGGATATTCTATTTTTATTTTATATCTGATCTTTCTCATTTCATTTCTCTCTCTCTACCTTCTCATATTTGCTTTTGTGATCTTTCCCTCTATCTTATGCTAAGCATAACCCGAAATATTAAAGCGACCCAGTTGTAATAGGCAACTGCTCAAATTTCAGCAATTCCAATAAGTGAATTCCAAACTGCGAAGAGACTGATGAACAAGGTTCCTGCAAGATATCAGCAGGTATGTCAGCTGAAACAGTAACACAAAACTGCTCTTCCAGTGATTTAATACTCATTCAGAATGTCACCGAGGCACACATAGCAGGAGATTCCAGACTCAGTCCATTCTGTCGTTGATATCGGGTAGGGAAGAGGAGATTCAAAGTTGATGTCAATATCCTGGGAAAGTAACTAGTGTTCCGAGGTTTAATCTCAATGTAACTAAAACACATTACTTTGTCATCACCACATCGCCCTATGTCAAGAGCTTGCTGACTGCAGATTGGTTGCCATGTTTCCTACATTCAGTTAGCTCAGTTGGCTGGATGGCTGGTTTTCAACACAGAATAATGGCAACAGCATGGGTTTACTTCCCACACTAGCTGAGGTTACCATGAAGGACTCTTTTCCAACCTCTCCCCTCACCTGAGGTTGGGTAACCCTCATGTTAAACCACCACCAGTCATCTCTCTCTAATAAGCGATCAGCACTATGTTCATAGAACATAGAACATAGAACATTACAGCGCAGTACAGGCCCTTCGGCCCTCGATGTTGCGCCGACCTGTGAAACCAATCTGAAACCCATCTAACCTAAACTATTCCATTATCATCCATATGTTTATCCAATGACCATTTAAATGCCCTTAAAGTGGGCGAGTCTACTACTTTTGCAGGCAGGGCACTCCATGCCCTTACTACTCTGAGTAAAGAACCTACCTCTGACATCTGTCCTATATCTATCACTCCTCAATTTAAAGCTATGTCCCCTCGTGCTAGCCACCACCATCCGAGGAAAAAGGCCCCCGCTGTCCACCCTATCTAATCCTCTGATCATCTTGTATGTCTCTATTAAGTCACCTCTTAACCTTCTTCGCTCTAACGAAAACAGCCTCAAGTCCCTCAGCCTTTCCTCATAAGACCTTCCCTCCATACCAGGCAACATCCTGGTAAATCTCCTCTGCACCCTTTCCAATGCTTCCACATCCTTCCTATAATGCGGCGACCAGAACTGCACGCAATACTCCAAGTGCGGCCGCACTGGAGTTTTGTACAGCTGCAACATGACCTCATGGCTCCGAAACTCAATCCCTCTACCAATAAAACCTAACACACCATATACCGTCTTAACAACCCTATCAAACCTGGGTGGCAACTTTCAGTGATCTATGCACATGGACACCGAGATCTCTCTGCTCATCCACACTACCAAGAATCTTACCATTAGCCCAGTA